AAGCAAACCTGGAGCAGGCAAAACCAGCCCCAGGCTCTCCCCAGCTCAAGTGAAGACTTCCTCTACTGGGCCAGCAGTGACCTCATCCACACCCTCAGGCTCCTGTTCTGGATCTGATACTGAAGGGTGTGTGACTTTGGCAACTGAATCTCTGTGAGTTTTTTCCCACAGGGGATAGAAATTCCTGACTCACAGGGCTGCTGAGGGCCTGGGGCATGCATGAGGACTGAGGGAACTGATGACCTTGGCAGAATACATTGCAGCTACAGGGGCTGGTAAAGTGAGCAAGAGACCTGGCATCAGATACTAGTCTGAGATTAGATGATAGTAATAATTGTTCCAAGAGAACTGGATATTGAGGTCTGGATGTGAAATTAGATGAGTTGGTTTAAGACTGTGATTAAATAGGGTCCAAGGTTGAGCCTGGGAGTCATACCTATGCACAAGGGCAGGTTGCACGGGCGCTCCTGTGAGGAGTCTCCTGCTGTGCAGTTGGCCAGGCAGAGGCTTGTGCGGCTGCGCCATGCAGGGTGAGCAGGGTCTGTGCAGCTGTGGGAGCAGGGAGACCACAGCGACTAGGGACCCCAGCCACCTGTGGGGAGGAGAGATGGAAGAAAGAGTGTGCGCACTTCCTGATTACTCAGCTTAGGCTCCCTCTTCTCCAAGTAACAGGGCTGGGGAAGGAGACCCAGGGCTTGCTCTTCCCAAAGGGAGACTCCAGCTACCTGGAAGGCCTGTCATTGGCTCCATCATGGACCCTGCAGTACCTGTGTGAAAGGAGACCCTGTTTGAAAATGTTCTGGTAACTTCAGAGCTCCTGGACCATGTCTAATGCTGGTGATCATTGCTCCAAACTATTGCTATCTAGCCCAGCACTCTACAGCTATCCCCTGGAAATACTGCAGATTTCTCCAGGATTAAATTCTTTGCTTACTTAAGCTGCTCCTGCCCTTCCAATGCTCAGCATTCTCTCCATCCCTCAAAACCCATCATAGGCCTTCTCCTCCAGGAAGCCCCCCAAAACTATTCTATTCTCAGAGAATTCCCTCCCCTCTGCACACACATCAATCTGCAGGGTTCAGCACATGCTGAAATGGGTTATCTGAGCCCTTGGATTCTGACACAGGGGTATTCGGCCCTCACCAGCTCCACACAGTGTAATGCATCTGGCAAGATCTCCAGAAGTGCTGGTTAGAGGCCCAAACAGAAGTCTAGAGCTATTAGGTAAGAGGAAGGAAGGCCCAGAGAAAGTAAGAGGGATGAACAGACACAGGAGGGCACAAAAGGCAACTGAGCCATCCTTGACCAGGCAGGTGTCTGCCCAGCACCTTCCTGCTTCCCTTACCAGGGCATTCCTGGCTGGGGCAGTACTCAAGGTCCTGAAGGGGCCCATGGCAGCCCAGGCCACCAGGAGCAGGTGTGGGAAGCATACAGTGGCGGGTGCGGGTGCCCAGTCCACCACAGGAGTGGGAGCATGGGCCCCACATGCCCCAGGGACTGAAGCTGCCATGGGCTCTGGAGCAGTCCTCCATGGAGCAAGACAGTTTCCCATGCACACAGGAGCTGGGAAGAGGGCACAGGCATGAGGGGCAGGGCAGGGTTCCTGAGGAGAAGGGCCTTCGGCCCCAAAGCGTGGGAAGACACAGCCAGGCAAAGGCAGTGGCCAGACCCCTGGGTTCCATATCCTCGCATATCTTTAGGCCCTCCCCTACAAGTCATAGCCCAGTCCCCACCTTGGTGTTTCCTTTACCAGTTTCGGCAGCCTGTTTGAAGCATCTGGCCTGGGAGCAGCTCATCTCTAGGTCCAAGGGGTGGGCCTTCCCTTCCCAGAAAGGCTGGGTGAGCCCCAGGGGCAGTGCTGGCCATCCCCAGCTCATGCAGCAGCAAGGCTGTCAGCACACAGGGACACTCCTGGATGGATGGGCAGGAGACAATGAAAGGTACAGGAAGCCTCCTACCAGGCACCTGTGTGCAGCTTCCCAGAGACTTGGGGAAGGAGAAGGAATGGGAGCAGGAGTAGGGACTTGAAGGAGGGCTCTGGGCCTCAGGGGGCCTTTTCCAGTGCACATGGGACCGGGGGCCTATGTGAGGGGCATACATGGTCCATGAGAGGCTTACAGGTTATGTGGCCTGGCCTGAGGGTCAACTGTCTTCCTGCAAGGAACACTTAGAGGGATGCAAGCAGACACAGAGGCTCTGAGAGGACAGGACTTGGCAGAGGCAGAAGGTGTCTAGCCAAGAACCAGAGGGATCTGGTTGTCTGAGTGTGAGTCTAACACTGGTGTTCAGTGTCCTCCTGACCTTCCTCTCTCTGGCTAAGTGTCACCCTAAGTCAAGGAGGTAGGACCAGGCAGCAGCTCAGGTCCCTTAAGGCCTTGACATTCTGCCTGACGGAGGCCACCGGGATTAGAAAAGGAATCTCTGAGCAGCTGCTGGTTTCAGCAGAGCAGAGGGGGAGCCTGCCTGTCATCTGTACCCACACCTGGAGATGGATCTGGGGCCAGATAAAGAGAAGGTGTGGGGTTTCTTTCCTCACGAGGGCATTGTAGGGAAGAGAGGGGCAATAAGGACCCACAGTCCCTGCAGTGGAGGACAGGGTGGGGAACATGGGAGGGGACACTGAGCCAGGTACCATAGGAGCTATAGGGATCAGCCAGAAAGACTGAGTGTCAGAGCCAGAGGGACATACAGAAGTATATGACTAGGGTGGCCTCAAAGCCCCTGTGGGCAGCCTGGTACTGGGAGCTGGGAGCCGGTGGGGAGTACAGGCCCAGGCACTGCCCTGGGAGGCCGGTGGCCTCCAGTCCCAGAGAGCTAGGGACACCCTAGGAGGCTGCCTCACCTCCACCTTCCCTTCTGAGTCCCCTAATCTCCCAGCCCCAATACTGACAGCAAAGGCTCCAGGTGGCTATCTAAGAGGCCACAGACTTCTTGGCGCTGATAAGCTGCCAGGTGCCAGGGAGGGAGGGCAGGGTCCTGGACTCTTGGCCAGCTCAGTTCTCACCTGGACACAGGCCGACTGGTGCTGGAAGGTACCCTCAGGACAGTGGCAGCCTTCCTCACAGCTCTCAGAGAAACAGGCCACCTGTCCTGACACGTGGACACAAGAGAAGGGGCATCCCCCGCTGGGCTGGCATTCACGGTACAGACGGCCAGCCGGGCAGCCTGTCTCTGAGGCAACACCAGAGTCAGTGCAAAGCTCTCACCGTTCTCACTGCCTACCTTTGTGCCCACCTTTTCTATGACCTGAAAGTCACAGTGTCCTCCCCTTGTAATGTCCCCTCCTCACAGCCCTCTTCATGACTTGGATGCTTCCTCCTTCACTTGCTAATCACTGGCCAGGGAGGAAGGTAGAAATGGAGGAGCCTATAAGCACTCAGAGTCAGGGTCAAGGGCCGTGATGGGACTCAAGGCTGAGTGGGATTATTGGATAGAGGCCGGCTTACCTCTGCAGACCTGAGTGTGGCAGGTGTGGCTTTGCCGAGCCAGTCCTGGACAGGGGGGTCGGGCACAGTGCCTGGAGCGCAGCTGTTCCCCTCCCCCACAGGAAACACTGCATTCCTCCGAGGGGCCCCAGGAACTCCACATGCCAGGGCCAGGGCAGCTGGGCACCTCGTGGCACTGCAGGATGCCTGCCATACAGGTGCTGGGGACCAGGAAAGGAGCTGCAGCCACAGGGCCTGGCCCACTTCCCCCCGGGGCACTGCTGCCCAGCTCCACAAACCTCCTTTGCTTACCAGTTGTCACATGGCCTAGTCACCACCTCTCCAGGTTCCAGGCTCTCCCAGGAGCTGAGTGTGGACCCTACTGACCGGCTCTGGTTCTCAGGGATTCCTGAAGGACACAGAAGTGAGAGCGGGGACTCGAGACAACATGGCAGCCCTGTCTAGCCCTCAGCCTACACGCCACTCTATAGCACGCATGTCTTGGAGGAAGGAGATGGCAGATGGCAGCTCCAACCTGGACCAGCCCAGATGTAGGAGATGCAAGGCTTCCAGTTCCCATCCTACAGCCTAGGGCTGGGCCCCATGAACAGGAATGCAGAGCCAGGCAGAGGGTGCTGCCGTGTTCAGTGGGCTACTGGGCAAGGGTGAGGGCGAGGGAGGTACTAACCCATGGCTCCAGGCTGGAACTGGCAGCAACAGTCAGTTGGAAGCACACAGAGCCCATCCTGGGAGAGCTGGCCTGGGGGACACCCACAGCTGGGCTGGCAGCCTGCCCACCCTTGCTGGCAGACACTGCCAAGGGACAGGTCCCGGCAGGAGCGGGGACAGGATGGCCCACAGAGCAGCAGATCCTGGCCCCCTCCACAGTCTACGGAAGGAAGGAAACTGAGAATGTGGTTGCCGAGGAACCATCCTAAGGGGTAAGTCCCTCCTATGACACCAGCGCCTGCTCTGACCTACCACTTTGTAAGAACATTGGATGAGGAGCTTGGGGTTGCCCTCTGCAGAGAGCTGTGTGTGAGCACGTGGTGGTCAGAGTCACAACCAGCATTTGTTTAAACCTACAAAGAGCTCTCCCACACTCCCCACCCCAAAGCCTTCACCTGTGCACACTGTGGAATTGTCCTGACAAGGGCGACTCTGCTCATGGCCCCCAGGGCAAGGCCTGCCTCCGTCAGAGGTGGGGGGCTGGTTGCACACCCGGCTCCGATGGGACTGTCCCAGGCATGTGTCACAGAGACCACCGTCCCATGGACTCCAGGCTCCATCCACTGCACCAAGGAGACAGAATTATCTATCTTGGGAGGCCTAAAAGGTCATTAGGTTTGGAACGAACATTTGGGGCCTCTAGGGGAGGAGCACAGACCTCTTGGGAGTATCATACCTGGGCATGCAGTGGGGTTAGGACAGGCCTCCCTCTGATTCTGGACGCCTGTCTCCCCTGCCTCCCCTGGGCATGGGCCACCACCATGCTGGGGAGCAGGGCAGACACAGGCCCTGGAGCGAATTCTCATCTGGCCCCTGCAGGGCTGGGAGCATGCTGTCCACTCTGACCATGGGCACCAGCCTCCAGGCACTGTGAGGGGCAGAGTGAACATTGTGTATGGTTGACATGACCCTGGGCCACTCTTCTTATCCCTTCCCACGAGCTGGCACGTACCGGGACAGGGCAGGTCTGTACAGTTAAGCCTCCCCTCCATGCAGGGGCTAGGCAAGTGCAGACCCAGGAAAAAGAGATGGAGGCTAGTGTGGCCTGGGGCCCCACAAAGCTACCTGGTTGCCACTTCCCTCCCCTCCTTCTTTGCCTCCTTCATGGTTTGGGGCTGTGCCCCATCTTCCTGTTCTCCAGTACCCCTGCTCCTGAAATCCATTCCCTATCCCATCACCTTCTGGGATGTCAAAGATGGTGTGCTGTTCTAGAGAGTGACCATGGATAACCTGCAACTGAGTGTGAAGCGGGGGGTAGTGGGAGCAAACATCCTGACTGTTCCTTTGTAGCCAAGCCCCTTTCCTCCCCAGGGGTACACACTCAGCCCTCAGCAGACAGAAACTGACTGCCTCAGTTTCCCCACCTATTAGATAAGGGTCATGGGGCCTTCTCTGTATCCTCTCTGGAACAGGAGGTGTCTAATATACTGCTGTCTAGGTTCCAGAGTTCAAGTGCATAGACACCAGGCAAGCCGTGCTTGCCAGCATCCTACCTCCTGCCTCAGTCACACAGCACAGCCTCTCACTAGTGGTTTACAGCCATCAGGCCTTGCCAGCTGAGTGCCTGGATGGTGATGCTTCCCAGTCAGCAGGTCCAGGCAGCTGCAGTGCCCAGGCTTCAAACAGAAAGCCCCATCAGCACTCAGCACCTGCCCTGGGGGACAGTAGCAGCCAGGCTGACAGCGCCATACACAGTGCTGGGAGGACAGCAAGAAGGGGCTCTAGTCAGCGGGACATGAAGATTGAGGAAGGGGAGAGTTGGCAAGAGTCAGAGACCAAGCTGGAAGGATTGTGTGATGGTTGTCAACCTGATGGGATTTAAAATCACCATGGAAACAAATCTCCGAGCTTGACTGCGAGAGACTTTCATAGATTGGGTTGAGTTAGGAAGACCCACCCTAAATATGGCTGGAACCATTCGATGGGCTGTGGTCTTAGACTGAATAAAAGGAAGAAAGAGCTGAGCAGCAGCATCCACTCTGCTTCCTGGCTGTGGCCATGTGACCAGATGCCTCATGTTCCTGCCTCTATACCTTCCCTACTATGATGAACTGCATCCTCTAACTGTGAGACAAAATAAATCCTTCCTTCCTTAAGTTGCTTTTGTTAAGTATTTTGTCCTATCAACACAGTGAAGAAGGAGGGTGAGGAGGGGAGAACGAGGCCAGAGGGAGAGAGACGTGTGACCTTACAACTATAGATTTTGTGCTTTAAGCACTATCTGCCTTGAAGTTTTGCTGAGAAGAGCAGGAAAGGAACTAGCCTGTCACTGAGTCCTCTGCCACTGAGAAGAGGACTAGGGGCAGGCCTGTGGGCAAACCCTTCCACTCCCCTGGACACATCTGGAACCTGGAGCCCTGCAAATGTGACTTGCCAGCTCTTAAGGGGCTCAGTGGGAGACCTGCACTGATGATGATGACCTGGGAACTGAGGCATGCCCAGGCCTCCACAGAACTCAGAGAACAGGGACCTCGGAAAGCTGACTGGCATGGGGGACTGTACCGGAAAGCTAGAGACAGGCTTTGCGTGTGGTGACCTGTGGTGACTGTGACATCTTAGGTGTATTCTCTTGCTCCTCTTCCTCCTCCTTCATCTGTCTGGAGCCGTCCCTGACCTCTTATATATTACTCTCCACATTCAGGCCTCAAAGCACCATCTTCAGAGCTCTTATCATGTTGTCCAATCTTTAATTCATGTCTCTCCCCACCCCCAAGATTGTGGGACCACAGAGAAGAGTTTTGCCTCTATCTGTGTCTATGGTGCCTGCACAGATGCACAGGAAACACACACATACAGACACACACACACATACACACACACGGCCAAGATTTGTACACCAAAATATTTATGGCACTTAAGATGATATGGTGGGATGACTCCCTCTTCCCACATGTTTGTGCTGTGTTTGCAATAGCATTTTAATTTGAGAAACATTGGCTGTACTGAATCCAAGGGCTGCTGGGTGAGGCTGGCTCTCTCAGTGACAAGGGGGAGCAAGCCTGCTGTGCACTGTCATAGACTGTCATAGACTGTCAGAGCCTCATCCATCCCACCAGGCCTGCTGCACAGCACCAGGGAAAAGGCCATGAGCCCAAGCCACACCCTGCTTCCCACAAGATGATTCTCTGGTGTCAGTTAGAAGTCAGATGGGTGTCAGTTAGAAGTCAGTTCACCAAGGGGACCCAGACTCACCACGAGGTCCTCACAGGAACAGGGACAGGGAGGGCCACAGGAGCTATATTTGGCCCCTTCAATGGCACTGCAGTTGGTCACTGACAGGACAGGATGGGTTGAGAATAGAGTTAGTCCCTGGCCTGCATCTCAGCCTGCTTCCCAGCTTCTCACCCTCTGCTCCTGGGCCCACCCCATCCTTGGCAGGTACCTGGGCATGGCCGAGCTTGGCATGCCTCCCCCTTGGGCCTGAGGTCCCTCGCAGAAACCCCCCAGGCCCTGGGGTGGAAGCTGGTTACAGTCTCGGGTACGGCTGCACAGGCCTCCCCCACAGCTCTGACTACAACTAGACCAGGGTTCCCAAGGTCCCCAGCCCCCTGCTCCTGAGGGAACAGAAGAAAAAGGAGTGTGAAAGAGTTTGAGGGTACTGGATGCAGTTAGTGCAAGGCTGAGAGATGGCCCCACCCTGGGCTTCAGGCCCCACAGGGCCACTCACGGTCAAAGCCTGGCAGGAGGCACAGGTGTGGTGGCATCTTGCAGGGCCGCAGGAGGCTGAACACATGCTCCATGGGGTCCATGGGGACCATGCAGGCTGGCCTTGGGAGTGCATGGGGGGCAGAGAGAAGATGAGCGGATGGTGACACAATACAGGGAGGTCCCACGTCACCACCTGCTTCATCTCTCCTGAGGCCTGTCTCCTCCCCACAGCCCAGGTCCATCACAGCCTAGGGAGGAGGCATCAGAAGTTGGGATCCTTTCTTACCCTCCTCACAAGGCCAGGAGCTGCAGTTGGTGATGAGTCCAGAGGTGCAGGAGCTGCAAGGCAAAGAGCAGAGGCTTGGGCACTCCAGGGGGCTGCATGTGGCCCACACAGCCTATGCTCAAACTAGCCCTCAGAACCTGCAAAGGTGACCTTATTTGGAGATGGGGTCTTTCAGAAGCAACCAAGTTAGTAAAGTTGTGACCTGCATCCTTATAAGAGGGAGTGATTTGGACCCCCACATGCACAGGGGGAAGGTGATAGAAGGAGGGAGAAGACAGCCATCTGCATGCTAGAAAATGCCAGACTGCTATCAAAAAGGGGAGGTGGGAACAGATGCTCCAACTTAGTAGGCACCTTGATCTTGGACATGTGTGGCCTGCACTACTACGACCATCAATGAAATGGTTGTGTTTATCAAACCCCTACCTCTACAATGTGTGTGTGTGTGTGTGTGTGTGTGTGTGTGTTATACTTTGCTACAACAGCCATGGAAATTAACATAAGAGACAGCTGATATTTTTTCACTGCTGGAGACTGAACCCACATGCCAGACAAGTGCTCTACAAGAATCACATGCCCAGCCTCTGAAAGAAGTCAGTCAGGGATGGGGGGCTGGAGGGGTACAGATGAGTTCAGCCATCCAGCCTGGATGGTTGTGCCTGAGGGAGGGGACGAGCATCTCTGTGGCTGACTGAGCAAACATCCCCTGCTGCTGAGCACAGGTCACTGCACAGCTGGGTCTTCAGGGGTCACAGGCCTGCTACGGCAGTGGGGTTCTCACCAGTTCTCACATGGACGAAACACAGCACGTCCTGGGGGCTGGAGCCACCCCTGTGAGTGCAGAGGCAGTCCTGGGTGGGGACACGCACGCTGTTCTGGAATTGAAAGTCCTTTGTCATCCTGGCTCCAGCCTGCTCTTCATCAGTCAAAGCCAGCACTCAGTTCCCAGTCTACATCAAGTGCCACCCAGGCACCTCCACAGACAGCTCTATCCTGGCCCTCCCATTGGGTAGAAGCAGACCCTTAGCTGTGGGTGGCATGGGGATATGGCCTCCCTCCCTCTGGAAGAAAATGACCCTCTTCCATTGCAAGACATGAAACTGAATTGTCAAGTAAAATCAACTACATGAAACACATACATATTCGATATGAACTATGTGATTTGTTAACAGTGTAATACCCCACCCACCCCACACACCATTTTCTTTAAGGTTCTGGTCTAGCCAGAATCAGCGGATGACTCAAGTGTGTCTCACTTGTCTCTTCCACCCACAGGATTGCCCAGTCTAAGACTGAGCACACAGTAGGTGCTCAGCATGTAGCTGACAATAAGTATGAGGGCCCTGCGCTTGAGCAAGGAGCCACCGAGGGTGCCTTCAACTCAGTAGAGTCTGTTTCCAGCTCCAAACCTTTGGCTCTGCCTTTGCTTAGTTTCCTGTCTGTCTCTTCTCTGTCAACCCAGGGTCCCAAGCCATGAGGAGGTCCCAGCTGTGGCCAGGCAGGGGGCATACTTACCAGCAGGAGCATCCCGGCGGGGCAGTAGCAGCCAGGGCGGCATGTGTGATTAGTATCTCTAGAGATGCTGAGATCGGCACAAGAGGCCGGTCCCTGGGCACACTCCAGCCATTGCTGGCCCCTGGGACACACACCAGGTACTGACCCTGGAGACACACATGACAAAGCGGCAGGAGGGCTGTGCACTCAGCTCTCCCCCGGGTTCCCAACCTGGGAGAGACACTAACTCTGGGTATGGCTGGGGTTGTCAGGAGAGCTATACAGTGCTAAGGGACAGGGCTGCAGGGAGGGGGTTGGTAATGTCCTGGGTTGGTGGGAATAACCACTAGGGTATCCCTCACCTGTACAGGGCTGCAGGCTGCAGGTGGAGAACTCAATGGGGCTGTGTGGGCCAATTCCTTGGGTGCGGTTTCTGTAGCCACCACCACAGGACACAAAACATGGAGTCCAGGGACCCCACTCTGCACCAGGGCCTATGGGTAGCGTTCAGATAACTGTTAGGCTCCCCTCCCATGCCCAGCATACTCCCCCCACCCCCCACCCTCGCCGCAGGACCCAGATATTCTTCTAACCCTCCCCCTTCACCTGCAGTATCATCTCCACCTCAGGAGATCCTGTGCCTTCAGGAGGAAGTGGGCTGGCCTCCAGGAGGGTCTCTCTTAGGAAATGGACTAGTAGAGTCTCTGGGGACCATCTCTTAATGGCATCCCTTAGGGAAGTCCCTTGTACTTCTCATGGGGTCCTGGAAGGGTATTCTTGGCCTCTCTCTGGAAGGTTCTTTAAGGAGGTCTCCGGTAGCCACTCTTACCTCAGCATGGCCTCAAACTGCAGAATTCATGTTGGGACCCTGGCACTCAGCACCCCCAAAGGCAGCTGGAGGTGCAGTGCCTGCTCAGAAGTGTCATCAAATGCCTACATTACAACTGCGGCTGCAGGGAGTCCATGGAGTCCAGGGGCTCCAGCCATAGGCCACTGTCAGGATGAGGGAACAAGATGCATGAAACTCAGTCAAGTCATCCTGAACCCTGAGTTCCCCAGGCACCACCAACACTCCCAGGAGACTATCTCTGAAGGGCCCAAAGCCCCCCACCATGGTCCCCAAGCACTGACAGTCACAAGAAGGGATTACCTGGGCAGAGTGCTGTGGTACATATCATCTCACCAGAGATACAGGTGCTGCCGAGAGAGGGACCACTGAATCCCAATCCAGGCCACCCAGTCACTGCCAGCTCCGTGACGGCCCAGGCATGGTGCTGTCCCTTAGTCAGTTTCATTAAGAGACATCTTTATATACTTTTTATTTCGTGTATACTTATTAAATAATTTGTACATGAACTGAGGGAGACCAGGAGACAGAGAGGAAGAGGAAATAAGAAGAAATGAGGTGAAGGAGGGGCGGGGAGAGGATGGTTAAAGTGCCCTCTGCTGGCAGGAGGTGGCGTCAGCTCTGAGCTTTGGGCACTTCAAAGAGCTGAACCCAAGGGATTCCAGGTAGAGAATTACACCCAGGAGAGAGAAACGGGAAGCTGGGAGACAGCAGAAGCTCCTCTCCAGAGGCACCATTAATAGTTGATGACTGCTGGGGGCTGCTGGGGGCTGGTAGAGTCGGTTTTCTTTAAGGGTGTGGTCCGATGGTCCGACACCCATGATTACACAGGCAGCACAAACTGGACTTGATGGTTTTTTGGGGTTTTTTTTGTTTTTTTTTTTTTAAGAACATGAAGTTGGGAGGGTGTGGGGTGGTTCTGCAGAGAGTTATAGGTGGATAGGATCAAAATACATTGTATGCATGTGTGAAACCTACATAACCCCACCTGTCTGAAACCTAGTCTTCCCACAGTCAAATGGGGTGAATATTCTTCACGGGTACCTGTCTCATTCACTGGAGTTTTCTCAGGAGCCATGCCTGGTATGTTTGTCTGCTAGCATGTTTGGCATATTGAATCCCCACAAGTGAGTGAGTATGTGTGAGTCCATGCCTGCTCCCCTCTGGAGCGCAGCCCCTCTCTAGGTACCGCCCCTCCCCTGCCCTTCCCCACCTTCCTCCACTGTAGCCTACCAGTTGTTGCAGGAGTCCAGGCGAACCACTGCTCCTGGTGCATAGAGCACACCGTGCAGTCGACAGGGGCACCAGCTCCAGGGCAGGCAGCTAGTGTTGTGCAGGAAGAGGCCAGGGTGTCTGGTGTGCCCAAAGGACTGGACACACAGAGGGTCTGGATTTCCCTAGGCGGGTGCTGCTCCCCGAGCTTTGTCCTGTAAATGGACTCACCTAAGGCAGGTCAGTGTGACTTCCTCCAAAGAGCCTGTCCTCGAAGGTCATATGTCCTTAGTCAGCAGGAGTGAGGAACCTTAGCCAAGTGTCTGAGAGAGGGAAGAGTCTTAGAGAGACGCTGGGAATTCTGGAAGTTTCCCTAGCTCAAAATGTGGCCTGTCCTGAAGCCAGAGGTCAGCAAAGTGAGAAGATAAAGGTGGGAAAAGTAAAAACTCCAGGACCTGGGCTGGGCAAGGCCACCTGGAGACTGCAGAAGGGAGCTGGTACCTGCACAGGAGTGCATGTTGCAATCTCTGGTCTGTGTATGGGGTCCTGGGCATACAGGGTTCCCAGGAGTCAAGCCAGAGCAGCTACGCCTATGGGTCTGGATGCCGCCATTGCAGGAGGCCGAGCAGGTAGACCAGGAAGCCCATAAACCCCAGTCACTTGGCACTGTCAGGAAGAGTTGAATCTATAGTCACAGGTGGCAAGATGGGGGTAGGCAGAGGGAGGGAGGGAGGGATGCAAGATGGTTCAAAACAATGTCAACGATGTGCTAGCCTCCTAGGAAGACTTGGGGTAGGGGCTGAAGGACAGCAGCCAGGTTTGCTCTTTCCCATTCTCAGTTCTTGGGGGTCATACCAGGTCAAGGGGTCATTCTGTTTTGTTCCATGTCCCACTCAAGTGCTCAGCCATACAAGGAAGGTGGGGCTGTACCTGGGCACACAGGGGAGCTGCAGGGCTCCTCCTGGGTGGCTTCTCCAGGACAGAATGTGTCACTGGGGCAGAGCCAAGAACGCTGCCACCAGCTGGGGTCCCCTCCAGGGACAAGGCAGCTTTGGGAACAGGAGGACCAGGACATCCAGGGTGTCCAGCCTGGTGTCTCTGGAGGAAAAGACAGGACCAGCCTGTTATATTAGAGGCCCTGGCTGTGCTAGAAAAGGTTGGGGACCTGGGTCATGTCTGAAAAGCTGAGGCCATGAAGGGTAAGGGTTACTCCTCTGAGCCCCTTTGCTGTTAGGAACCCCCCATTCCAAGGCCCTAATTCTCACCCTTGGGGGCAGAGGTCTGATCAAGCTCTGTGCCTGGGACTCCCCATGGTTTAGCAACTAGCTCACAATACTTTGCCCATTGTCATGGTTCCTCAGGTCAACTCTTCTAAATTTCTCTCTGTGTGACACCTGCCAGCGGTCACCACCCACTCTCTACTGACCCTTCCTTTCTTTCTGCAGCATGACCCTGGCCCAGACCCTGTGCTGCCACCTCCTCCTCTCCTTCCCCATCTTCACTCACTCTGCTCGCATATCAGTGGTGTTTCGCCTACTCTGTAGAGATCACCCCGACACCTGCACAGCCTGAGGGTCACTCAGTCCATGCAAAGGGAAGAAACTAGCACCTTGATCTGGTCTCTAAGTGCTCCTATCTGTCTTGCCTTCTGATGCACACAGCCAGACCTGCCTCAGTCTTCTGGGCTCTGCAGAAACCCATTTCACCCAGGCCAGCCTCCCCAGGTACCCAGAATATCTGCATGAAGACCTGTGTCTTTCCCACCCTAAAGCTCACTATCCTAGACCAGTTCCAGAGCCATATGCCAGAATGGAGAGGCCTTGCCCACCACCCATCCCGACTGCCAGCTGGTCTCATCCTGCCATGCTCACAGGACAGGGAATTGGGAGGAAGAAGGCAGGTTCCTGCCATACAGTACCTGTCCCACATTCTGTGTGGCAGGATTGCAGTTCCTGCCTGTCACCCTCACATGGGGCACCTCCAAAAGCTGCAGGAGGGTTGGAGGGAGACCTGGGGAGAGAGGCAGCCCTGGGCACCTGCTCTCCTCCCTTATCGTCCAGTACTCTTGCCTTCCTCGTCTTTCTGTCTTCCATCCACTGCCCTCCCAACCAGGGTGGCCTGGCTCTGATCCCTTCTCCCCATCCCTTCCATTCCCTCCCCATCTCCATACCTGAACCCAACCCTTACTCCAGAGCCACAAGAGTGGTCACAAGGAGCCCAAGGTGACCAGGCAGACCAGCCACAGGGTTGGGGGCACCCTCCTGGCTCACACAGCAGTGCCCCCTTCTCACATGCACTGCAGGCAACAGAGGGGCAGAGGAGCCGTTAAGAGCTAGAAGGCTCTGGTTAGTACCTTTCCTCCATCTAGTGCCCTCCCTGGCCAGTGCCCTCCCTCTGAGCAGAGCCCTCCCCTGACCCAGCACCCTCCCTCAGCCCAGCATGTTCACCGTTCTGTGCAGTTATCCAGCAGGAAGGCCAGCCCTGGCTGCCTCAGCTCTTGGCCCACCAGGCATGGGCAGTCAGAGAGGGGCAAGCAGTGAGAGTCCTGAAGGAGGAGTCCTGGAGGGCAACAGCATCCTGGGTATGAGGGAAGGAGGGCACTTAGCCTACAGACAGAAGGGAAAGGGCTGAGGACAGTGCTGGGGGCTCCGCTGGGCACTTCTCAGTTCTACTTTCTGGCTCTACCTCACCTTCCGCACGTTCCACACTGCAGCTTCTGTTGGCCTCAGGGTCTAGGCAGGAGGGGGGACATGGAGGCACCAGTCCCTTCTGGCACAGTTCAGCATTTATATAAACACAGTCCATCCCGCAGTCTGGGGAAGAGGGGCACCAAGTAGGGTGGGCCCCAGGGGCCCCAGAGATATAACCTTGGGATTCCACTGTGAGGTACCTCCCCCAGCCAGCTTCCCTTTACCTGTGTCACCTGGGCAGAGCTGCAAATCGCAGGGTGCCCTCTCTTGGGAGTCCCCAGGGCAGGGGGCACCTCCATTCTTGGGTCGGGGGGGTCCATACAGCCTCTCTGGCGACTCTGGTAGCCACCCCCACAGGAGACACTGCAGGGTCCCCAGGGCTCCCACTCTGCCCACACCCCAGCCACTATGGAGGAAGAACAGGGTCCACCAGAAAGACTCCAAGGAGACAGGCTATGTTAGGGAGGGGAGGGCAAAGCCAGAGAGCCTCCCTAGCCAGGGACCCATCAGCTAAGGGTAGCACCCTGTGAGTTTTACAATCCCTTCTGTTCTGGAAAAACACCCACAGGTGAGAACCCTGCAGTGGGATGCATCTGGTGGCAGTGACAAGAGCTAACCACCAAAGCCAGGGTTGGGGACCTGAGGAAAGCCTGTTACCAGGGGAGGGGTTCTCAGGAGCACAAAGAGCAGGCTGGGGAGCCTCTCTCTCGGATTCATAGAACAAAATGTCTACAAAGCCTTCCATGTGGAGCCCAGGGATAAGTGAGTGGCACAGCCAGGTGACACTGGAGAGTCAGTTTCAAACAGTCTTGGGTATTATCTCCCTTCATCTTCACAGACAGACAGACAGGTGGGTCCATGGGAGGTGAGAGGGTGGAGGTTGGAAAGACTGTCACTCCCAGTTCACATCATGAGAACGCTGAGTGAAGAGACTCCCTCGGGCCACTTACACAGGCAAGGAGGGGCAGAGCCAGGGGAGTGGGTGTCCTGACAAACCTTTTTGGGGATCAAGGCTGTGCTGATAGAGATATAACTGTCCTAGAGTCCCAGAGAGACAGGCTAGACACTGGGGTCCCAGAGGAAAGCATGCCACTTCCCCGGGAGAATCTTTGGTGGGTACTAGCCCAGGTCTCCCACCTGAAGTGGCTAATCTCTACTTCCTTCTGGGTGCTAGGCTACCTGGGCAAGCCTGTACAAAGCACGACCTGCTGCAGAGCTGGTCCACCAGGCAGCCGCCCCCTGCCAAAGGATGTCTCAGCAATCCCCGGGGCTGGAAGGCGAGGCCTGGACCACAACTGTGGCTGCAGCCACTCCAGCCAGATCAGGGTGCAGGGCTGTACCTCAAGCCAGCACATACCACAGCCATCCTCATCAGAACCATCCTGGCAGTTCGGCTGAGGGTCCCCCTCGCAGTGCTGCTCAGGGGGCAGGCACTCCCCACTGCCACAGCTCAGCTGGCTTGGGGAGCAGAGGGTCCTTGAAGCTGGCAACCCAGGCAAGGCAGTGGTAGGGACAGTAAAGGGCCCACTTGCTGCCCATACATAATGTGAAGAGAGAGGAGGAAGCCATGCAAATGATTTCTGGCTGGATGAGAAACTGGACTTCAACTTCAGGGTAAGATCAGGACAGAGCTGGCTGACCAGAGCCCCTGGCCTTCCTCTCCTCCCAGTGCCTCTCGCAGCCTTCACCAGGATGAGGCCTACATAGGGTCTTTGTTCTATACCACTCTCATAGTTTCTCTACCTGTGAGTATCCAGAGAGAAATCAGAGCATGAAGAGAGTGTGTTTCCTTGGTTATTCTCGTTCTGAGTGGGCTCCCCTGGGGTACCCCTTTCTGTGATTTGTTAACACTTTCTTTTCTCCTGATTGGAGGACCAAACTTTGATCAGAATGATTTACTTTGGATGGATGGATGGATGGATGGATGGAAAATATATGAATAGATGGGTAGATGGATAGATGGGTGGATGGATGTAAGGGTCAACAGATTAATGAATGAATGGATGAAAAGATGGGTGTGTGAATGGGATGCTGAAAAGCTTGAATGGCAAGCAAATGGATAGATGGGTAGACAGGTAAGTGGGTGGGCAGATGGAAGGGTCAATAGATGAGTGGATAGATGGATAGGCAGATGGGTAGATAAAATGGGCAGATACATGGGTAGATCAACGGGTAGGCAGATAGATGGGTCAATAGATCAGCAGATGGATAGATGGATGGATGGGTAGATGGCTGGATCGATTGGATAGATGATCAGGTAGATGAATGGGTGGGCAAATAGATGGATGGATGGGTTGGTTGATGAGTGGGTAGATGGATAAGTAGGTGGATGGATCAATGGATAAGTAGGTGGCTGAGTGGGTGGATAGATGGGTGGATGGATGGCTATATGAGAAGATGTATCAACAGAAAACTGGGAAGGTAGGTGGATGGATAGATGAGTATCCTCAGTGATCAGACAGGCCAGAGCCCGATGCCTATTCCATTCCCCTCTTCATCTCCAGACTGGAGTCTGTGCACAGACCTGTGGTAGGCATGGATGGTTCCTGCTTGGGATGCTGGTGCTTAGTGTCTGCCAGACACTGATTGCTTTTACAATTTCTCTTCATTTCCTGCTGCCCCATCTCCCATCCCCAGATCCTTCCCACATGAGTTCTCCAGACTGGAAGCCCTCTTGTCGTTCCCACTGAATGATGCGGTCTCTACAGCTCACCACAGTTCTGTTCATCGGAGCCGTCAAGACAGTCCTCTCTCCCATCACACAGCTGCTCCTGTTCCACACAGCCCGACACATCACAGGGCACCTGTCCAGGGCCACACTGCATGGGTGGGAAGGGCTTGGGGGTGACACTTTGACCTATGGGCAGGGCACCATGACAGTCAGCTAACTATGGACCCAGCCTGCATTTTCCCTTGGGTACCTCTCTTTCTGCCTTTCTTGAGATACTGAAAAAGGCTTAGGCTGGGTCCAGAAGCTGTCCATTAAAAATGACTTTGAAGCATGTGGCCTTTAACCAAGTGATCAACCTCTCAGGGCTTCTTCCCCTAGAGAAGTTGGGGACACACTGGTTTTGCAGGCAGGCAGAAAGGTACAGAATCTTACCAATAGGAGTCACAGGAGTGGCTGGGTGTCAGGGGAGCATGGTCACGGCTGCCATTCCTGGGTATAGGCTCTTGGTGCCAGAAAGGGATGTGGGGGTGGTGGCAAGCATCTGTATGGATTGCCCTGAAATGGAGAGGAGCTTCAGACACTCAGATGGCACCTCATATCTTCCCTAGGGGAGGAGGAGGGAGTGAGATGCCACTGGCTCAGCTCCTTGTCCCAGGAGAGATGGTGAGACAGACCCTGAAGAGGATATCCCTGGTTTCTGGGTGGTACAGGGTAATCACAGATATCACAGTCAATAGTCCACTTTGGGAGGACCCCAGATAAAAAAATAAGGTACAGAAGACGAGATTTAAGTAAAAGTAGAAAAAAAAAAAACTTGTTTAAATCTAAAGTTTGTACTCCAGTTGCAAGAAGACAGCAACTTCCAAGTTCAAGTTCACTGTATGATAAGGGGAAAGAAAGAACTGAGGTCACTTAAACACAGCAGCAGAAGCAAACTAGTTTTGAGCTTCCTGGCAGCTACAGTGAAAAGGATATCAAGAGACTCATTTTTTACTAAAATATTCATCTTCAAATGCAGTCATTTTTAGAACCAGATTTAGAATGAGATTAGAATGCATCCCATGAGTCCAAATGCTCTGGATATGATTTTCATAAAAGACACAAAGACATGGTCTAGTCAGACTGCTGAGTGGCTTCCATCAGAGCTCACCATGAGGAGCCTCCTAATCTCACAGATGGGGAGATGGAGGTCCAGGCAGGTGGTATGGCATGTCTAATACCTCCCAGGGTGGAGTCAAGGCAAGTTTGCTGCTCTGATGGTTCATGTTCCCTGAGACTATGGTGCAAGTGGCTAATCAGCAGCCCTGGGGAAGCTGGCATATGCCAGGCAGGGAGTTCCTTCCTTTCCCTGCTTCTGAGCATGCTAAGCCGGGGACCCGCCCACTTTCATCCCCACTTAGGACATTTTCTGCCAGCAAATACTTCAGAAAAAATGCCTGGCAACATGCCTGAGTGAGTAGAGGGGGCACAGATGGCACTAGGTGGCTCCCAACTCCATAGAGAAAACCCATACAGGCTAGGGTCTGGGGGCTACCTTTCAGGACAATTGTACAGCCCTAAGAACTGTCCCCATCCTCTGGTCTCTCAAACCCTGGATCCAGTAGGCTGAGCAGGGCAAGACCTGGCCATGACCAATATCTCTCAACCCTGCAGGTCTGTAGTCTTGGAAGAAGCCAGAGATGGGGACATGGGAGTGGTGAGCCTCTAGGATGTCACTGCCTTTTGCTTTGAAAGGGCAGATGATAACAGGGACAGGGGTTGGGGGAGGGGACAGGAGTCTGTGTACAGACCTGTGGTAGGCATGGATGGTTCCTGCTTGGGATGCTGGTGCTCAGTGTCTGCCAGACCCTGCAGAGGGAGAGAGCTCAGTCATCCTGCTCAGTGCAGGCCTGGAGAGCAGTTTCACCTGATCCATCCCTTCCCTCCCACTTCCGTCTCCTGAAGCACAGAGTTGAGGACAGAGCTGACTCTCATGTAAGATGGGCAGACTGGGCACCCCTGGACACTGGCCCACACCCTTAAGGGGTTCCTTGGTCCTGGTCTCATTGGTCTACTGTGCATTCACTTGAGCTCTTCTCCCCCAGATTCCTAGACTTCCTCAATAACCTGGTCAAGCTGTTCCTGGCATGTGACAGATACCCTCATCTTTCAAGCTTTGTCCCAGATGCCTCTGGGCACTCTGAAGCACAGAGCTCTTTCAGATTCTAAGAGCAGATGCCCTGGTGCCTCCCAACCTATGACAGAACTCTTGTCTCCAAAACTGCATCAGGTCAGTGCCCTGCCCTGTACCTCACTGCACCTGCCTGTCCCTTCATCCCCCAGACCTCCACCCAGCACCAAGCTGGCCCCAGATGGCTCACAGGCCAAAGGCTTGGCAGAGCAGCATCAGGAAATACAAGTTGGAAGAAATGCCACTGAATGTGTGGAGAAGGAGGAAAAAGTGGGCGTGGGAACAGCGAGATGAGGCAGTGAAGCCGATTCCCACTCACCTCCCTGGGCTGGGAAGGCAGCTGTCCATGGTGAGGGGAAGAGAGGGCTCGGGTGCTGGCTGTGAAATGAACTCTGGGAAGAAAAACCATCAAGAGAGCTCCAGGGAACCTGCCATGCCAGCCCCAGAGCCCACCCATCCTGAAGGGGTCAGGTAGGGCATGCAGGAGAGGCACTGCCCACTGAGGTCAGACAGACATGAGCTCTGACAGTGATTCTCAGCTTGATGGTGTCAAGATCACTGGAGGATGAGGACACCTCCCCGTCTACCCTACAAGACTAGGTAGAACCAGAGAATCTCCTCTCAAGTTTTGGGTGGTGGTGGTACTGCTGGCTCAGGGGCCACCTTTCAACACACCAGGAAAAGGCACAAAACTTTAGTCTCCCATGGTTGGCCAGGACTCTGGGGCACCCAGCTGAGACTCCTGGGACTCCTTAGCATGCAGGGTTTGTGAGCCCCCTGGAGAGTGAAGACAGGGCAAGTCTCCTTCCACATGGCTCCCCATCCACATTCAGACCAAAGCCAGGCCATACCTGCTAGTGCTTCCAGGCAGGGGTCCACACCCCTCTTCATCAGAGCCGTCCTCACAGTCCACAGTACCATCGCATGATCCTCCCTTTGGGGCACACTCACCACTGGCACAACGGTGCCTGGCCTCTGGGCACAGGGGTGCCAGTGGGGACACTGTGGAGGATATGTTACTAAGGGCTCCTGATGTCCCACTGCCCACTCCTGTCCCTCCTGCTCCTAGCCCAGTCCATACCTGGCTCACAGCCCAGTAGCTCCACCCACTGGAAGATGCTGTGTTGGATGTTGTCACTGTGGTGACCATCTTGTGGCCACACCCTGATGTGCCTTGCCTCCACCATCTGGCCAGATGTCCATACCTCAGGGGCCACATGGTTCCAGCTCCCAGGAAAAGGCTGTGGAAGAGGGTACCTGCTGCCTGAGTCTCACCTTTTGCTCAAGCTGCCACTGTGACCCTGCTTTGGTGCCCCCTTGAGTCCCGCAACCCTCACAGCATGGACACTGCACTTAAGGTAAGAGTGAACACCTGTGTAGACTGAGTCTTATGCCTTCAAGGGACCTGTCTCCCTGGGGGGATTGCCAACCCATTCCCCGAAGGGGACAGAGATGTGCCCAGGCTACTCCATGGGGACCTCCAAGGCCCTCTGTGAACTTGGTGTGTTGCTATCCCATTCCAGGCTGCTACAAAGCTTTGCATACTTAGGTCTGTTTTCCACTTCCCTGTTTTCTGCCATCCCTGGACCCTCGGCTTCATAGAGCACAGTCTATACATCCACAAGCATCGAATGCAGGGACCGCCCCTTGTAGGGGGAAGGACGAAGGACTGAAAGTCCTTTGAGGATAGACTGTGGGATTCACAAAGGGACGTACTAGACCACGCAGGGGCCTGAAGAGCTTGGTACCTTAGGTGGGGGCAAGACACTGGGCAGGATCTTTTGATAGTCATGCCACTGTAGACCATCACTGCTAATCTGGAGAGAGAAGCTGGTGATGTAAGCATCAGAAGAGCCAGTCCCCTGTACTATGATGCCTGAGGAGGGGCCAGGATGAGGCAGCCGCCCCATCACCCATGCCTTCCTCCTTACTGACCAGTTAGATTCCGAGGCCGAAGTAGGTCCAGCTGAAGGTAGAGCGGTTGGGTGTGCCACTCAGCATCCTCTCCAGGACCAGGCCCTGCAGTGGGGATCCCCAGAAGGGCTTCCCAGGTGGGGTGCTCCAGGTGGTGGGATGGTGTCTGCAGGCTCATCTTGGGCAGTCGATAAAAGCCCAAGGGAGAATAGCAGGGATCTAGGTGTGGGAGATGGGGGCGGGCAAGCTGGAGCAGGCAGGACAGAGGCTAATAGGGACATAGTCACAAGGGGAGCTGAGGGTGTGAAGGACAGAGAAATGGGGCAGGGAGGGCAGAGCTGGGGAGGGCAACTTGGGATTCGGAACTTCAGGGCCTCCATCGTGTAGGGCAATCCAGCTATCCTCTTTCCCTCACTGGTAGGGCAACCCCTCTCCCCCTGCCTGGCACGGTGGCCCTCTCATCATCCACTATAACTAACAGCACATATATTACCTCCCAGATGGGGAAGAACATAGGTATCCAGAGGGGCTACAATCTGAGGACTGGGGGCAGAGGCAGGAGTGGCCATGGAGACCACAGTTTGGTTCTCTCCTGTGGGGGAAACTGAAGGTTCAGGAGGAAGAGAGCAAAAGAGATACTCCAGTCCCCCGACGCCCCACACACTTTCTGGAGCAAAACTTTCTCTCCCAGGACTTCCCAGGGACAACCCCCAGCGGGAAGGGCCCCGCCTTCCCTTTGCGTGAATTTTGTGGCTTTTTCACTTCCATTGACTAGAAAACAGAATAAAACTACCAGTCCAAAGCAACTTTAGGACAGGCGCTGCTCCTAACCTCTGTGGGTATTAGAAAGGGACTGTGTCACTGTGCAACTAACAACTGTGTAACTGTGTGAACCGTGTGCTGGCTGAGTCCCAGCCTCATCAATCTGTAGATATGCTTTTAGGATACGGAAACTGACCCATTCCTCCCTGCCATGGTCCCCACTGGATCCTTCTCCCCTCGGGGCTCTTCCACCACCCCTCAAACCCACTCACCAGGCAGCACACAATGGCAACATGATTCTCCCTTTCCCTCTACCAGGACCCAGCTCTGTGGGGTCCATCCCTGACCCATTCCACAAGTTTCTCCAAGCATAGCCAGTCCAAGTCCACACTGCCCTCCAGATTGCCCATTCCATACTCCCAGATAACTCACCTGGGGGCAGCTGCCCAGTGGGCAATAGAGGGAGCAGCATGTAGTGCCCCTGGGAAAACACTCACACACCCTGAAGGGACCCTCACGCCCGCGCTTCCCAACATGATGAATGTGGCCCAGATGCTCATGGCTCTCACAGGGCTCTGTCTCGCACCTGGAAAGGGAAGAATGACCCAGCCTCACCCAAAGTCATCCTCCCTCCCCCATTTCCTGGGATCAAGGATATTCCTAGAATTGAGATTGTCAGTAATAAGACTGGGGAAGTCCTGAGTGAATGCCTGGTCTCCCTACTCTACTCCTCCTCCTAAGAGACCGACCACAATAGGCCCAAAAGAGAGGTGGAGAAGCAATTTGTGCCAGATAGAAGGTTAGCCTGGCTAGCTCCAGAAGGGCTGAAATAGCTATGCCCCTGCAAGCCTCACCAGAGGTACCCACTGCTGCCCCTGGATCTGTCAAGCTGAATAATCTGCAGGCTCTGTCTGCTGGCTCTTGGACCTGGCAGGCACAAAACTGAAGCAGGAAGAGGTGGCTGGGGTGTCAACTGGGGTATCACAGAACAGGTTGCTAATCTGGGGTACATAGTAAATGTGAAGGGCCCAACTTGGGGAGGGACACAGAGTTGACTTCCTAAGTAGGGGTAAATAGGATGTCAGATCCCTGTCCTGTACCTGCGGGCCTTGCGGTAGATACCACAGCACTGGCAACCCCGGCCAGAGAGTCTTGGGTTGCTGGGACTCCGGAAAGACCACTGGAGGCTTTGGTTACTGCAGGGTCCCAGGCAGTTGGCCCAGAGGGACCAGGAAGACCATCCACAATCCACTGAGAAAGGATAGCTGTCAGGGCTGGGAGGGCTGGGAAGGTTCCAGCCCCCCCCCCTCAGGGAAGGGCCTGGGGCAGAGGCTCACCAGCACATTCCGGGTTGGGTCTACAGTGACGTAGCCGCCCATCTTGGCAGAAGCAGAGCTGGCAGTCTGCCTTGACACGTTGCCCAGGCCAGTAGTAGGTGCCATACACTAGGCAGGGACACTGCCCAGGCCTCACACACCTCCCCTCTTTGCTCAGCACCTGCCCTTCTGGGCACCAGCAAACTGGGGAAAACACAGGGTAAGGTGTCAAGCAGTACGAGACCTCCACAGACCCAGTCCAGCTTCCCCTCACCTGGGCTGCTGCAGGGCTTGTCAGATGAGCAGGAGGCCTGGCCAGAGATGTCATCACAAGTCAGAGGGCAGGGGGCACAGAGCTGGAATACCAGGTCCCCGAAGCAGGTGGCATTGGGGCAGCCCTCCTGAGAACAAGGTTCTGGAAGAGGACCAGAACAAAGGTTAGAGGTCAGGGAGGGGGATTTGCATCAGAGACCAGTGTCCTACCAGTTCCCTTCATCCCCCCTGGTAACCAGTCCCCAATTCCCCCAATATCTCACCAACAAGCCCCCCTTCCTGCATTGTCCCCCCACTCTTGCAATGTCCCACCAGAGACCCTCTTGCCTAGTGTCCCACTAGTCTCCACATCTTCCTTCCCTAGTGTCCCACCAACAGTCCCCTCAATACCCCTACTTGTGCCCCCTTCCCCTTTACTCACTGGTTTGGTGGGTGCTGGGAGGGGGCCCAGGCAGCAGGGCACAGGCCCAGCCCCCATTCTGGGGTGGGTGATGCTGCTGATGTCGCGTCATGGTACCCCCACAGGGCTCAGAACACAGAGACTAGGGGTCCAAGAGCTCCATTCACTGTCCACTGAGAAGGAAGAATCAGGACAGGCAGGGTGGTAGGGACTGTGAGGCAGAGCTGGGACCCAATAGTCTCTGCCTCTCTCTAAGACCTGCTTCTCCACAGCCCCTCCCTGATCATGGTACCCCCACAGGGCTCAGAACACAGAGACTAGGGGGTCCAAGAGCTCCATTCACTGTCCACTGAGAAGGGAGAATCAGGACAGGCAGGGTGGTAGGGACTGTGAGGCAGAGCTGGGGCCCAATAGTCTCTGCCTCTCTCTAAGACCTGCTTCTCCACAGCCCCTCCCTGGTGTCCATACTCCTCACCTGCACAGGCCTCCATGAAGCAGGCCTATGACCGGTGCTCTGGGCCTAGGCAGTGCTGTAACACCAGGAGACTAGATGGGGAGGAGCATCTGCTCCTACTCTGTACCCCAGGCCTGCAGGTTTGGCTGCATGGTCCCCACGGGCCCCAGTGACTCCAGGCCCCACAGCCCTGCTCTTCCATGGAGGGCTCGGTTTCATCTGCCAATTCACAGTCGGGCTTCCCGTCACACACCTGGTAAAGAAATAGGCTCAGTATTCTGGTTGAGTGTACAAACTCTGGGCCTGCCCATTCCTACTCCCAAGCCTCACCAGCTGGAAATCAATGCAGGTGCCATTTGGGCAAGAGAATTCTGGGCAGGGACCCCCTGTCCCATTGGGGCCTCCTGAGGTCAGCATTCCTTCTGGGTAAGAAAGAACAGTTAGCCAGAAGTGAAAGCCACCTCCTAGCCCACGAGAGTACAGCCCCATTAAGAAAACAATCCATACTGTAGCCCAACTCATCTTTGCCCTGGGGACAGTGAGGGATTCCATCACAGAGTCGTTCAGAGTTCAGATACAGCCAGGGAGCCAAACCACAGGAGAAGAGGCCATGGCAAGATGGCAGCTGGGTAGAGCCTGTGGGCGAGAAGTGTCCTCCACCATGCTCCTGTCCTTCCCATCCCATCCCGGCAGAAGGACCAGCAGAGAAAACCAGGGCACAGGAAGAGGAGGTGTGAGAAGGCATGGCGCTGTCCTGGATTGAAGGAACCTTTGGGAGGCGGTGAATGGCAGGTCCTGGGGAGGAGTCAGGGTCTGATCCACTCGCCGGGGAGGTGGTGAGGACATGAGGGACTGACTTGCAAAGGCACAAAGAGTTCCACTCCAGTGAATGGGGAGAAGTTGGGAATGGTGGAGCCCTCCAAACAGACCCGCTCCCCACACCCTCAGCCACCACCCACTGTCCTGTCCCTTCTTTCTCAAATGGGAGCAAAAGACCTTTCCCATGTTCCCATAGGCCTGCCTGGAAAAGCAAAAAATTCTAAAGAAAATTTCATTGAAAAGATCAAAGGCACACAAAAGCCACTCAGCCTCTGATGCCCCCAGACCTAAGTCACTGTCTAGCTGTGCATGCCTGCCACTGCAGGGTCAACGGTGGCAGATGCCTGGGAAGAGGCTGGTCCAGCCTACTAGATTTGCCCACGGTGGGGGGGGGGGGGGCACAGGGG